AAGCGCCCCTGGCCGCCAAGAGCATGTTGCCAGTCACGAGAGATGTGCACGAGGTGGGTCAATGATTTTGAGCTCTGTCGGTAAAAATTGTGTATTTCTGTTTAATTATTCATTCTATGATCACATCCTAATTGTACATCGTATTTATGTCATTTGGAACATTTATGAGCTAATATTTTGTACAATGTTTGAGTTATTACAGTAAAGGACTTTTGCACGTCATGACAGAAGATAACTTAGATGTTAAAGTGACTTGCTCTCCTTGTAGAGCTGCTCACCGTGTCGAGCTGAGATATCCTGACCAGTATCTATTTTGTTTGATGCAGATCAAAACCACAAAAGACAGCAACGTGTCGTGGCCATTTGTTCGCAACGAACACAGATGGGTTACTCCCACAACCAAGCTGGACTTTTGCACGGCCATGTCGCGGTTACATTTATATACTGTCTTGACTGTATGGGAAAGGTAAATGAAATAACATACCACGAAGAGACCGTGGTGTTGTTCAGGGGCACCAGAAACAGGTTTGTCTGGTCCAAGACAACCCTACTGTCCTCCAGCAGCTGTCTGAGGTTGCTGTAGACACTGACGATGGACTGAGGGACGGGCGAGGTTTTCCCCTTTGTGTCCTTTGGCCCGTTGCGTGCTTGCTCAAATTCTTTGGCAAGCCTGAGGCAAACACACTCACTGACCCTGTTGACTTCAGGGTCCTGGGCTGCTTGGCCATGAGTCATGTATAGTCTGTGGGAGAGAAAGAGCATATGATCTGGACTGTGAACAAGGATGTAAAGCCGTGATGAACCACGTGACGATGTCAACAGGGATTGCAATAAAATAATATGAACTGTATTGAACCATGATAGCAGATTGTGGTCAAGCACCTTTCTGCCGCCTGCTGTCCAGGAGCAGAGCCACTCTGCTTCCTGGGCGCTCTCTACGGTCCTGCTGACACATGTGACTTTTTCCCAGAATTCTGGGTGTATCTAAACGGTGAAAGAGACATCCATATGCTTCATTAGATCCATGGAATGTATGTGTAATTATGGTGTACAAAACAATTACTAATTTGTACCTTGAAGGTGCCATGATCATGGCATGGAGAGCTGCATACAGGCGCACTATGTCAGCCTCCTCTTTGGCTGACAAGGCAGTGATGGTCTGCCTCCCATCCCACAACCCCTCTCGTGTCACTTGGGCTGGTCTGGAAAGTGATGAGTGCGAAAAAGAAAAACCAAGCAAATTAATGGTCACTCTTGTTCCTATTTATGTGAGCAATGCTGATTTTACATTCATTCATCTTATTCGTTTAACCACATTTATTTCAGGTAAGTATTGTGTTTTTGAGTAGGCTAAGGTGTTAGAGAAAATGTTACCTACCTCTGTGACGACGACTTCGGGATCAGTGTCACCCTCCACAGACTGGTCATAAGGACCAGTAGCCCCCTCCTCAGACATGTCTACAGTGACATCTGCATCATCTGCGTCCCACTCCTCCTCAAGCACCTGTGATGGGATTTCAGGGACATGCCATGGCGCAAGCAGGTCCCCTCTGTTGGTCTGGCCCAATAAATATTCCACCGCTATGCGCTCATCTGTAACCAGTATAAACACAAGATGAGAGAAGGACATACATACACACATCCATCTCCATAGCACAGTCTTTGCACCCAAGAAATCCAAAGTCTTACCAGTAGGTTTCCCAGGTGGGGGGAATTCTGCCACTAGATTACAACCACGGACACGCTGGCTTAAGCTGTTGAGGTGGGACATCGGGCGGACATCGAAGCTTCTAAGGGTCGAGGCCCCCTCGGCCCCGCCCATGTTCCACCTTGATAGCCCCTCCAGCATGTACATTTGCATATGTGTAGCATTGCACCGCCAGCCTAAGAAACAAAACACTTTCAGTCAACACCATTATTGTAAAGTGAATCCATATGAATACATAAGAGTGTTAAGTAATTGTGTTATTTTGAATAATTACAGTACATTCTCTGTCATAAGAGAAAAGAACATTCAAATATATATATATATATATATATATATATATATATATATATATATATATATATATATATATATATATATACAGTATGTCTTGAGGCAAATGTACTTGCAAAGAAAGCGCACTGGTGCCAGTGAAAACTCTCCAGGGAGGAGGACCCCCTACCACACCTAAGGATGTCTAGCTCTTTCCCGCCCTTTTGGAATGTCCCCACCTTTGTATACAGTGCAACACCTGGGGGGTCTTGGAAGCACTCCAGTTGTTTCTGCTGCATCTCCCAGATGTGGCGCATGCTGTCATGGCTCACCAAACACAGCCCTGTGGTGTCTGTGAGGTCCCACACTGATTCCAGCAGCCTTGAAATCATACGGCGCATCTCCTCCACTCCACGGGTCCTCCTCCTGCAGTGTTTCTTTAGTTCTCCTGGGTAGACGGTGGCCATAAGCTGTTCCTCAGTGGGAACATGTCCACTGTGGCTGCACTTCCAGTCCTCTCTCTTGGCCTCCTTCAGGCGTTGCACATCCTCCTGATCCCATTCAAAAACGCAGGATGACAGCTTGGTACAAAAGGTGCCATATAGAGGGTGGTGTTCTGTAGTGAGGCCACAGTTGAAGCGCTTCACAAAATGAAAACTGTCTGAGCGCACTGCAGACTTCCATGGGTGGAAGAGCTTGGTCACTGAAGACACATCTGTGAAAAACAACCATTGTTAATTAGGTAAAAAACCCCACATTGAATACAAATTGTTCTAACAATGTGTCTGTCTGTGCGTGTGTCTGTGTCTGTGTGTGCATGTGTGTTTCTGTGTTTGCGTGTGTGTCTGTGCGTGCGAGAGTGTGCTGGTGTGTGCGAGAGTGTGTTGGTGTGTGCGTGTGTTTCTGTCCGTGCGTGTCTGTCTGTGCGTGTGTGTTTCTGTGTTTGCGTGTGCGAGTGTGTGTCGGTGTGCGCGTGTCTGTTGTTGCATGTGTGTTTCTGTGTGTGTGTGTCTGTGTGCACATGTGTGTTTCTGTGTGTGTGTGTTTCTGTGTGTGTGTCTGTCTGTGCGAGTTTCTGTGTGTCTGTGCGTGTCGCTGTGTGTGCGTGTGTGTTTATGTGTGTGTGTGTTTCTGTCTGTGCGTGTCTGTGTCTGTCTGTGCATGTTTCTGTGTGTGCTTGTGTGTTTCTGTGTTTGTGTGTGTCTGTAAGCGTGTGTCTGTGTCTGTCTGTGCGTGTGTGTTTCTGTGTCTGTGTGTCTCTTTGTGTGTGTCGGTGTCTGTCTGTCTGTGTATGTGTGTGTCTGTGTCTGTCTGTGCGTGTTTCTGGGTGCGCTTGTGTGTTTCTGTGTGTGTTTGTGTCTGTACGCGTGTGTCTGTGTCTGTTTGTGCGTGTGTGTTTATGTGTTTGTGTCTGTTTCTGTGTGTGCATGTGTCTGTGTCTCTCTGTGTGTGTGTGTCTGTGTGTGCATGTGTCTTTCTGTGCGTGCGTGTGTTTATGCGTGTGCGTGTGTCTGTTTCTGTGCGTTTGTTTTTCTGTGTGTGTGTGCATCTGTGTCTGTCTGTGTGTTTCTGTGTGTACATGTCTGTCTGTTTGTGTGTGTGGGTCTGTGTCTTTCTGTGCGTTTGTTTTTCTGTGTGTGTGTGTGTGTGTGTGTGTGTGTGCGCGCATGTGTTTCTGTGTGTGCGTCTGTGTCTGTCTGTCTGCGTCTGTGTGTGCATGTTTCTGTGTATGCTTGTGTGTTTCTGTGTGTGTGTGTGTGCACGCGCGTGTGTGTGTCTGTGTCTGTTTGTGAGTGTGTGTGTGTTTATGTGTGTGTGTGTGCGTGTTTCTGTGTGTGTGTTTCTGTGTGTGCATGTGTGTGTCTGAGCGTGTGTGTTTCTGTGTGTGCGTGTCTGTGTGTGTCTGTCTGTGTGTGGGTGTTTCTGTGTGTGCATGTCTGTGTGTCTGTCTGTGCATGTGCATTTTTGTGTATGCGTGCGTGTTTTTGTGTGAGTGTGTTTCAGTGTGTGTGTGCATGTGTCTGTTTGTGCATGTGTGTTTCTGTGTGCGTATCTGTCTGTGCGTATTTCTGTGTTTGTGTGTGTGTGTGTCTGTGTGTGTGTGTGCGTGTGTGTCTGTGTGTGCGTGTTTCTGTGTGTGTGTGTCTGTGCCTGTTTATGCGTGTGTGTTTCTGTGTGTGTCTGTGTGTGCATGTGTGTGTAAGTGTGTCTGTCTGTGCGTGTCTGTGTTTCTGTGTGTGTGTCTCTGTGTGTGTCTCTGTGTGTGCGTCTCTGTGTCTGTATGTGTGTGTTTCTGTGTGTGTGCGTGTGTCTGTGTGCACGTCCGTTTGTGTGTCTGTTTGTGTGTGCGTGTGTGTTTCTGTCTGTGTGTGTGCATGTGCATTTCTGTGTGCGTGCATGTGTGTGTCTGTTTGTGTGTGTGCGTGTGTCTGTCTGTGCGTGTTTCTGTGTGTGTGTGTCTGTTTGTGTGTTTGTGTTTCTGTGTGTGTGTGTCTGTCTGTGCATGTGTGTTTCTGTGTGTGCGTGTCTGTTTGCTGTGTGTGCGTGTGTCTGTGTGTGCATGTGTGTTTCTGTGTTTGCGTGTATCTGGGTGTGCGAGAGTGTGTCGGTGTATGCGTGTGTGCTTCTGTGTGTGTAGCTGTGTGTGCGTGCGCGTGTTTCTGTGTGCGTGCGTGTGCTTCTGTGTGTGCGCATGTGTGTCTGTCTGTGTGTGTGTTTCTGTCTGTGCATGCGTGTGTGTCTGTGTGTGTGTGCGTGTGTCTGTGTCTGTGCGTGTTTCTCTGTGTGCGTGTCTGTCTGTGCATGTGTGTTTCTGTGTGTGCGTGTCTGTGTGTGTGTGTCTGGGCGTGTGTGTTTCTGTGTGTGTGTCTGTCTGTGCGTGTTTCTATGTTTGCGTGTGTGTGTCTGTGTGTGCGAGTGTGTGCCGGTGTGTGCGTGTGTGCATGTGTGTGCATGTGTGTCTGTGTGTGTTTCTATGTGTGCGCACGTGTGTTTCTGTGTGTGTGTGTGCGTTTCTGTGTGTGCGTGTCTGTGTGTGCGTGTGTCTGTGTCTGTCTGTGCATGTGTGTTTCTGTGTGTGCGTCTGTCTGTGCGTGTGTGTTTCTGTGTGTGTTGTTGCATGTGTTTCTGTGTGTGCGTGTCTGTGTGTGCGTGTCTGTGTGTGTTTATCTGTCTGTGCGCGTGTGTGTGTGCACGTGTATGTTTCTGTGTTTGTGTGCATGTCTGTGTCTATCTGTGCGTGTTCTGTGTGTGCGTGTGTGTCTGTGTGTGTTTCTGTGAGTGTTTCCATGTGTGCGCGCGTGTGTGTGTGGCTGTGTGTGCGTGCGCATGTGTCTGTTGTTCCATGTGTGTTTCTATGTGTGCGTGTGTGTTTGTGTATGTGCGTGTCTGTGTGTGTTTCTGTGTGTGTTTCTATGAGTGCGCGGGCGTGTGTCTGTGTGCGTGTCTGTGTCTGTCTGTGCGTGTGTGTTTCTGTGTGTGCGTGTCTGTGTGTGTCTATCTGTGCATGTTCTGTGTGTGCGTGTGTCTGTGTGTGTTTCTGTGTGTGTTTCTATGTGTGCGTGCGTGTGTGTTTCTGTGTGTGTGTCTGTCTGTACGTGTTTCTGTGTTTGCGTGTGTGTGTCTGTGTGTGCGAGTGTGTGTCGGTGTGTGCATGTGTGTTTCTGTGTGTGTTTCTATGTGTGCGCGCATGTGTTTCTGTGTGTGTGCGAGTGTCTGTCTGTGCGTGTGTGTTTCTGTGTGTGCGTGTCTGTGTGTGTGTGTGTGTGTGTGTGTGCATGTCTGTGTCTATCTGTGCATGTTCTGTGTGTGCCTGTGTGTGATTCTGTGTGTGTGTCTGTGTGTGTGTGGCTGTTTGTGCGTGTTTGTTTTTGTATGTGTGTGTGCGTGTATGTCTGTGTCTGTTGTTGCATGTGTGTTTCTGTGTGTGTGTGTGTGTGTGCGTGTGTGTTTCTGTATGTGCGTGTCTGTGTGTGTTTCTATGAGTGCGCGGGTGTGTGTCTGTGTGCGTGTCTGTGTCTGTCTGTACGTGTGTGTTTCTGTGTGTGCGTGTCTGTGTGTGCATGTGTCTGTGTCTGTCTGTGCATGTGTGTTTCTGTGTGTGTGTCTGTGTGTGTGTGTGTCTGTGCCTGTTTATGGGTGTGTGTTTCTGTGTGTGTCTGTGTGTGCATGTGTGTGTAAGTGTGTCTGTCTGTACGTGTCTGTGTGTTTCTGTGTGTGTGTCTCTGTGTGTGCGTCTCTGTGTCTGTATGTGTGTGTGTTTCTGTGTGTGTGTTTCTGTGTGTGTGCGTGTGTCTGTGTGCGCGTCCGTTTGTGTGTCTGTTTGTGTGCGCGTGTGTGTTTCTGTGTGTGTGTGCCTGTGTCTGTTGTTGCATGTGTGTTTCTGTGTGTGTGTGCGTGTGTCTGTGTGCACGTGTGTGTTTCTGTGTGTGTGTGTTTCTGTGTGTGTGTGTCTGTCTGTGCGTGTGTCTGTGTGTGCATGTGTGTTTCTGTGTTTGCGTGTGTGTCTGTGTGTGCGAGAGTGTGTTGGTGTGTGCGTGTGTGTGTTTCTGTGTGTGTGTGTGCGCGCATGTGTCTGTGTCTTTCTTTTTCTGTGTGTGTGTGCGTCTGTCTTTCTGGGTGTCTTTCTGTGCGTGCATGTCTGTGTGTGCGCGTGCGTCTGTGTCTGTCTGTGCGAGTTTCTGTGTGTCTGTGCGAGTTTCTGTGTGTCTGTGCGTGTGTGTTTATGTGTGTGTGTGTTTCTGTCTGTGCGTGTCTGTGTCTGTCTGTGCATGTTTCTGTGTTTCTGTGTTTGTGTGTGTCTGTAAGCGTGTGTCTGTGTCTGTCTGTGCGCGTGTGTTTCTGTGTCTGTGTGTCTCTTTGTGTGTGTCGGTGTCTGTCTGTCTGTGTATGTGTGTGTCTGTGTCTGTCTGTGCGAGTTTCTGTGTGTCTGTGCGTGTCTCTGTGTGTGCGTGTGTGTTTATGTGTGTGTGTGTTTCTGTCTGTGCGTGTCTGTGTCTGTCTGTGCATGTTTCTGTGTGTGCTTGTGTGTTTCTGTGTTTGTGTGTGTCTGTGCGCGTGTGTCTGTGTCTGTCTGTGCGTGTGTGTTTCTGTGTCTGTGTGTCTCTTTGTGTGTGTCGGTGTCTGTCTGTGTATGTGTGTGTCTGTGTCTGTCTGTGCGTGTTTCTGGGTGCGCTTGTGTGTTTCTGTGTGTGTTTGTGTCTGTACGCGTGTGTCTGTTTGTGCGTGTGTGTTTATGTGTTTGTGTCTGTTTCTGTGTGTGCATGTGTCTGTGTCTCTCTGTGTGTGTGTGTCTGTGTATGCATGTGTCTTTCTGTGCGTGCGTGTGTTTATGCGTGTGCGTGTGTCTGTCTGTTTCTGTGCGTTTGTTTTTCTGTGTGTGTGTGCATCTCTGTCTGTCTGTGTGTTTCTGTGTGTGCATGTCTGTCTGTTTGTGTGTGTGTGTCTGTCTGTTTGTGTGTGTGTGTCTGTCTGTCTGTTTGTGTGTGGGGGTCTGTGTCTTTCTGTGCGTTTGTTTTTCTGTGTGTGTGTGTGTGTGTGTGTGTGCGCATGTGTTTCTGTGTGTGCGTCTGTGTCTGTCTGTCTGCGTCTCTGTGTGTGCGTGTTTCTGTGTATGCTTGTGTGTTTCTGTGTGTGTGTGTGCACGCGCGTGTGTGTCTGTGTGTGACACACAGACAGCTGTGTGTGTCTGTGTCTGTTTGTGCGTGTGTGTCTGTTTGTGTGTATGTGTGAGAGAGAGAGACCCACCTGTCTGGGTGCAGCAGTCCCGATCGACAGATGACCGCAGGTTCAGTTTGGCCTACATTTTTATAAAGGGTGACGACGCCTTGGCACAACTCTTCCAACCCTGCACCTTCACCCGTCGTCAGAACAGAGTTCAGAACCTGGTCAAACTCGTTGCGGATGTTGGTCATCCACGCAGCACTGCCCCCTATTCCACCAGCCAGCTTCTTGGTGATCTGTAAACCAAATACAAGCACAAGAAGCAAACCAATTTCCTTTTGGTTTTTTTGTAATTATACATGTTGTATTTTATACATTTTTTGAGTGAGCAGAGATTGCGTTAGGTTTGGTGGCAGTACTGTTACCTTTTGTGGTCATGGCATAATGAATGCTGAATAGTGGAAGCGCACCCTTTCACTGACGCGCTTACCTCTGTGTCTCTTCTCCCTGCCTCCGTGCTGACTCGAACTCCCCCTGCCTCCCTGCCTCCATGTCTCCTCTCCTTGTGTCCGTGTTTCCTCTCCCTGCCTCCGTGTCGACTTGGACTCGCCCTGCTTCCGTCTCAACTCCTCCTGCCTCACTGGACCCAGCACCTGATGCCAGATCTGCTGGCTGGGGGGAGTACAAAAAGAGGGAAATAAAGCTTTCTTTAATTGTCTCTTTTTGTACTTTACTAATCAATTAGTAAATCATTTCACCTACCTTGTGGAACCCACAGGTACACTGAAGGCTTCTCCCAAACAGATCCTTAGCATGGCTCTGCAGGGGCAAGCATCAATCCTCTCTAAGGCCTTTTTCCATTTCTTGGCCCCTGGCCGTTTACCAGCTGAAAAGTGGAATTTGTCCTGGGCATACTTCAAGCAGATGTCCCTCCAGGAACTATCTGGCTTTCCTGTCTTAGTCATCTGCAAACATTAAATATCAAACAGTTTAATGTCGAGCTTGGCCATACATGTATAGACAGACGGAGGGGAGGAAATTCTACATGTTTTGCAGGCTTTATTTATATAATTTCTCAAACAAGGAAAACGTAGCAAAGTTACAGTGCTTTGGAGGGTCATGGTTTGCCCTCTGTACAAAGACAAAGCAATCACAGCCCTTGTGGTAAATAATAATAACCAATGTCGCTACACGTGAATAAATGATCACATGAATTAGCCATGTGTGCATTGTGTAGCGTAGCGGTGTGAATAGACCATATAAAATAGCTATGTGCGCATTTTGTAGATTATGCTATGTTGACCTTATGTAACCTCATTAACTCCACAGCCACCTACCTTGGGTCGTCCTCGCGCCCCCTATGTAAATTCGTACATCTGTATTGAAGGACTTGCGAGAAAACAATGAAACTTGGGACGATTATTTCACGTCTTTTCCCGCGAAATCAGCAGAGTTTATACGAAAAATAAACCAATAAATAATACTACTACTGGAACTAAGTTTAAACTTAGAACATTCCCCCTTTCCTGTCCTCTTAGAGTTTATTTCCCCCTCCTTTCTTTTTTATTACTTAACTTTTTATTTATTTTATTTGTACATGTTGTACGATAAAATGTTTGAATAGTAATCACAGTTCTTTATACACTGCTGGATGTATACACTTTTTCTTTAAATTTATTAAAAAAAAATAAAATAAAAAAAAAAGGGGGGGGGAAGGGAGAAAAAGAAAAGGAGAGAAGAGGAGGGAAATGTCCATTATATTATTGTTTTCTTATCTATTATCTTTTCAGCATTGTTTACACTGACTTCAGCACTTATTGCAAGGTGTATCATCGCTTACATTTTCGTGTTTTTTGTGAGATTCGAACAGGCAGCTTCCCAAAGTAACACAGCGCTTCTGACATTCCTAAGGCCTATTAGGTGCTAGTAAAACCAAACTAATTTAACAGTGTATGCAGATAACTCTGCCATCATATGTCCCCTCACTTTTTAATAAACTCAATTATTTGAGAGAGTAGCTCAGTGCAGCAACAAGTGAATAAAACTAATTCTAAACTGAGCAAAGAGTGATGGGTTTTGTGAATAAATGTAATTAAAATAGTAGTAAAATTATCCTGGAAGTAATTCTGGCTTCAAGTTATTCAGTGTATGACACTCACTGTCCTGTTTTTAAACAGGAAATTAAATAAAAACGTGAAAGCTGTTCTTGACTCCAATAAAATGATCAAAACTTTAATGTAACATTGTACCACACAGTAAGAAAGCAAAGAAAAATGACAAACCACGTATGAACAGACAGGACGAGAAGAACGAGGGAGAGAGGAGAGAGAAGAGACAGAGAGATATCTATGACATTTTTCGTCAGGACCGGCCCTGTCGTTTCGGCTCAAATTTGACCAAATTTTCAAAATGCTCAAAACTGGCTGGAAACGTCCCCAAACAACCTCAGACCACCCCAGATGGCCATAATGGAGCATCTTTTGTCATTTGAAGGCAGTTTGGGGCCGAAAGCTGACATGGCCAAAATTGACATTTTTCGTCAGGACCGGCCCTGTCGTTTCGGCTCAAATTTGACCAAATTTTCAAAATGCTAAAAAACTGGCTGGGAACGTCCCCAAACAACCTCAGACCACCACAGATGGCCATATTAGAGCATCTTTTGTCATTTGAAGGCAGTTTGGGGCCGAAAGCTGACATGGCCAAAAATGACATTTTTCGTCAGGACCGGCCCCATCGTTTCGGCTCAAATTTGACCAAATTTTCAAAATGCTTAAGAGCTGTAAAACAAATCCTTTAAACAAAATTAAATAAATGATTAAATAACAATAATAAAAGTATAACCATGTAATATAACAATATAGAATAACATAATAACAATATAATGTATCAATATCATAATATATAACAATAATATTATAACAACAATAATAACAATAATCATCATCATCAAGATGAAGCTGAAACAATAAAACTACTGTAAACTAGGGATGTAACAATTCAGTGTAGACTACATAAAGAAATAACAGTTGTTTTAAGACTTAGTTCTAAAGAGGAAAAAGTAGCACAGTAACAGTTTTAGCTGTTTAACCTCCACAAAACTTCGCAATAAATATCCTACCGTGAGATGTATATAGTGAAAACATCGCACCAAGAGATTTGGATATTGTTACGTTCCTAATCGTGAGCCTCCCCACCATATCGTGAGCTTTCCCATGACATCGCAATAAATAAGGTACCGTGAGGTTCATACCGTGACGATATCATATCGTGAGGCTTTGAAATCACCCCTACTGTAAACTGTTCCTCCAGTCTTCCAGGGACAGTCCTGAGGCTGGACAGTACCACCGCCCCTTCACCTGGGTGTGTCCAGTTCTTTTGCTTTTGTCCTGGCCACACTGCATGCAGGTGTAGTGGTACTGCTCTTTTGATAGCCTCTTCTTTGGCGGTTCCCCTCTTGACACTAGCTCCTCATCCTCCTGGGCAGCTTTATTCAGCCTCCAGGCACGTTGCCTTGGCTGAGATGGAAGGCACGCTGGAGGAGGTTGCTGCAGTGGAGGAGCATCAGGACATGGAAGAGCTTGCTGCCATGGAGCATAAATAAATGCGGAGTGCAAATATGAGGGAGCGGGCAGAAATGGAGGAGGATGTTGAAACTGAGGAACTGGCCAAGACTGTGGAGGGAAAACGGGAGGTGGAACTGGTGGACTGATCCCAGGTTGCTTGTTAGCTGCCAGAGTGTGCTGGCGGGGGAAAGCTTCTCCCTCACAGTTTTCTGGCTCCTCAAAGGTCATAACATCATGTGCACATTGGGAGAGAAAGAGGATATGGTCTGGACTGTGAACAAGGATGTAAAGCCGTGATGAACCACGTTACGATGTCAAAAGGGATTGAAATAAAATAATATGAACTGTATTGAACCAAGATGATAGCAAATTGTGGTCAAGCACCTTTCTGCCACCTGCTGGACAGGAGCAGAGCCACTTGGCTTCCTGGGTGCTCTCTACGGTCCTGCTGACACATGTGACTTTTTCCCAGCCTTCTGGGTGTATTTAAACGGTGGAAGAGACATCCATATGCTTCATTAGTTCCATGGAATGTATGTGTAATTATGGTGTACAAAATAATTACTATTTTGTACCTTGAAGGTGCCTTGATCATGGCATGGAGAGCTGCATACAGGCGCACTATGTCAGCCTCCTCCTTGGCTGACAAAGCAGTGATGGTCTGCCTCCCATCCCACAACCCCTCTCGTGTCACTTGGGCTGGTCTGAAAAGTGATGAGTGAGGAAAAAAAAACAAGCAAATTAATGGTCACTCTTGTTTCTATTTATGTGAGCAATGCTGATTTTACATTCATTCATCTTATTCATTTAACCACATTTATTTTAGGTAAGTATTGTGCTTTTTGAGTAGGCTTAAGGTGTTACAGAAAGTGTTACTGACCTCTGTGACGACGATTTCGGGATCAGTGTCACCCTCCACCGACTGGTCATAAGGATCAGTAGCCCCCTCCTCAGACATGTCTACAGTGACATCTGCCTCATCTGCCTCCTCCTCCTCCTGAAGCACCTGTGATGGGATTTCAGGGACATGCAATGGCGCAAGCAGGTCCGCTCTGTTGGTCTGGCCCAGTAAATATTCCACCGCCATGCGCTCATCTGTAACCTACGGGGCCACGATTTAATATCTTTTTTCGCGTACGTGATCGGGATGTCATCGGGCGGGCTCCGTAGTAACCAGTATAAACACAAGGTGAGAAAAGGACATACATACAAGTCTTACCAGTAGAGGTTTCCCGGGTGGGGTGAATTCTGCCACTAGATTATAACCATGGACACGCTGTCTTAAGATGATGAGGTGGGACATCAGGGACATCGAAGCTTCTAAGGGTCGAGGCCCCCTCCACAGCTACTGCCTCCTTGGCCCGGCCCATGTTCCACACTCTAACAAATTTCTGTAGTTTCTACAGTAACTTTTACAACTGCTTCTTGCTTTCACAAATTACATGTCATAACTGTAGATTGCAATGCATTGTGGGACAAAAAAAAATACAGTTAGTAAGAACTTTTTCTACAACAGCCTGTTGTAAATTTAAATCAGTTTGTGCTTTACTGTAGATGGGAGGATATTACATGTAAATGTTGTATTTTCAAATGTTTCTACACATGAACACTCCGGTAGAGCGGATGTGGCGACACGAGAGGCCGCGGTGAACCGAGGAGAGCGCGGAATGATACGACAGTGTGCGGGGAACAACGCAGACACCGGCCGCAGCGTCGTAAAACTCCGGGAGAACAGGAGTTTGTGGGGCTCACTAGAGTCAGTGCTTATCAGAGGTGAGCGCGGGCTGAGCCGCTGTTTTACATGTGAACAGTGAATGCGGGCACTGGTTCTGGTACAAGCCCGGGTAGAACGTGTGTCATGGAGGGAAAGAGGTGTGTGCGGGGCGGGGCCGCGGACACACTGGAGCAGGCAGGAGGAGCAGTGGAGCAGTGCACACGTGATGTGTTTCAAAGGAATCTGAATATGTTTAGGCCTATTTACTGTGAATGTGAGCTACAAAAGCATATTGCCAGTTCAGGCTTTACACTTCTATGTTTGATACAAATGTGAATGTGTTTGTTCAGGTGAAGTTGTCAGTGCAGTCGGCCTACACCAGGTGGTGGACTGAAGAGAGAAGACCAGGTCCAGGTCTTATCTCACCATGAGCTGAGCTGGCTCATCAACACGGATATAAAAGTCCACTGTGCACTGGAGTAAACTAAAGGTAAACTTGTGATTAAATTAAAGAATTGGCCAAACATGTCAAAAAACATGGAAGACAATGTTCTGTGATTGCAGGTGTAATAATGAACACCATGTTTAATAAAAAATATGTATTTATTTGTTTAGGTGTCACCAGACCAGGTGGACACTGGAGACTGAGGACCTCACCTCTGTAGCTGCCTGCATTCTTCACTAGAAGCCTCCTGCACACTGGACTGGTGAGCATGTCATTCATGTACACACTTAGTGGTGGGATGTTGAGGTCATTATAATAACATTAAGCTCAGTTGTTTTCTGTCACTCCTCTCAGTGTAAATATTAAAGGTGTATTCTAATAATAAAATGTGATTGTTTGTGTTTAGGTCTCCTGGTTTATACTGAGCACTGATCAGTTAAGATCAGGTCACATTCCAGCTCTGTGTCTGAGCTCAACTCACTTCTTCACTGCATCCACTGCACTTCACAGGTGAGGATTTCTGCATGACATTAGAATAATACAGAGTGCTGTTACCTCCTTTGATTCCTGTGTGTTTTGTGATTGCAGATGTTTCATGAGGTGAACACAGACAGGTCTACAGATCTAGAAGGAGCCTAAAGGACTTGAGTGCAGCTCACACAGAGCTGAAGGATCCTCACGTCTCTTCTCTTCAGGCTCTTTATGGACTTTATACATCAGCTCATGTCCAACTGTCATTTACATGTGTTAAATATTTTGTTACATCTTTTGTTTACGTATTTTAATGTGTATTTGTGGTAACTGTTTTTTTAAAATAAATGTTTGAATGCATTTTAGCTCTGAGTCTGTCTATTCTTATGACAATACATTGATTAGCTGTATTTTTTTAAATTACAGGGAATTACTGGCAACAAAATTGCCAGGTAATACTTGTAAATATGATTTACAGTAATTTACTGAAATTAATACAATAAACACCTGGCAACAAAATTGCCAGGTAATACTTGTAAATGTGGTATACAAGGTTTTGCTGTAAGCTGCAGAGCAATTATTTACTGTAAACTTCAAACCAATGAATAACTGTAAAAATTCCCCAACAAAAACCTGTAAAGTGTTCCCAGCTCTTACCTGTAAATACAATTTACAGTAATTTACTGAAATAATACAATAAACACCTGGCAACAAAATTGCCAGGTGTATATTGTAAAATTTACAGGAAATTTGTTACAGTGCACCTTGATAGCCCCTCCAGCATTTGCATATGTGTAGCATTGCACCGCCAGCCTAAGAAACAAAATACTTTGTACACCATCAACACCATTATTGTAAAGTGAAGTCATATGAATACATAACAGTGTTAAGTAATTGTGTTATTTTAAATAATTACAGCACATTCTCTGTCATAACAAAAAAGAGCATTAATAAAAAAAATAATAAAAATACAGTATGTCTTGAGGCAAATGTACTTGCAACTAAAGCGCATTGGTGCCAGTGAAAACTCTGCAGGGAGGAGGACCCCCTTCCACACCTAAGGATGTCTAGCTCTTTCCCGCCCTTTTGGAGTGTCCCCACCTTTGTATACAGTGCAACACCTGGGGGGTCTTGGAGGCACTCCAGGTGTTTCTGCTGCATCTCCCAGATGCGGCTCATGCTGTCATGGCTCACCAAACGCAGCCCTGTGGTGTCTGTGAGGTCCCACACTGATTCCAGCAGCCCTGAAATCATACGCCACATCTCCTCCACTCCCTGCAGAGTCTCTTTAGTTCTCCTGGGCTGATAGTGGCCATAAGCTGTTCCTCAGTGGGAACATGTCCACTGTGGCTGCTCTTCCGCTCCTCTGTCTTGGCCTCCTTCAGGCATTGCACATCCTCCTGGTCCCATTCAAAAACGCAGGATTACAGCTTGGTACAAAAGGTGCCATATAGAGGGTGGTGTTCTGTAGTGAGGCCACAGCTGAAGCTCCTCACAAAATGAAAACTGTCTGAGCGCACTGCAGACTTCCATGGGTGGAAGAGCTGGGTCACTGAAGACACACCTGTGAAAAACAACCACTGTAAATTACATAAAAAAACACATTTAATACAAATTGTTCTAGTGTGTGTGTGTCTGTTTGTGCGTCTGTGTGTCTGTGTGTCTGCGTGCGTGTTTCTGTGTGAGCATGCATGTGAGTGTGTGCGTGTATGTGTGAAAGAGAGAGACCCACCTGTCTGGTTGCAGCAGTCCCGATCGACAGATGACCGCAGGTTCAGCTTGGCCTTAATTTTTCTAACGGGTGACAACATCTTGGTACAACTCTTCCAACCCTGCACCTTCACCCGTCATCAGAACAGAGTTCAGAACCTGGCCAAACTCGTTGCCGGTGTTGGTCATCCACACAGCACTGCCCACTATTCCACCAGCCAGCTTCTTGGTGATCTGTAAACCAAATACAAGCACAAGAAGCAAACCAATTTCCTTTTGTTTTGTTTTTTTGTAATTATACATGTTGTATTTTATAAATGTTTTACTATTGAAACCCTAATCTTCTTTGTCAAATCTTAAGAATTCTACCATAAGTAGAAGTGATGACTCCCTTCATTTCATCAAGATGGCTGAGGATGTCATTAGAGCAGGCTGTCTCCAACCATTGAGCAAGTGGAAGGGGACTGAAGGGTGGTGGTTGACAAGACCAAGGAACTGGTGATTGACTTCAGGAGAAAGAGGACACCAGTGGAGCCATCGTCAGCCGGGGCCATGACAACTGTAATCCTGTTTATAAGAAGGGCATAAATAGACTACTTCATGAAAACGTTTTTCAATGTGTGCAGCAAGTTACAGGAGATCTTCTACCAGTCTGTGGTGGCCAGTGCCCTGTCAATCCAGTAAAGCTGGTCACGTGATCTAGAGCTGGAGACATTTATCACAATGAGGGACAGGAGGACACTGGACAAACTGCTCTCCATCATGAGGGTCAGAGGAGCTCATTCTCCAGCAGGCTCCCACAGCTCCACTCAAACAGTACATAAGTCTTCATTTATATAGCACTTTTCACAGACATATGTCACAAAGACACCTTACAGAGCATTATTCATTCTATACCTGGTGATGGTAAGCTACTATTGTAGCCACAGCTGCCCTGGGGCAGACTGACAGAAGTGCCACTGCCATGGCAATCGGCGCCATTACACACACACACGCACACACGCACACGCACACACACACACACACACACACACACACACACACACACACACACACACACACACACACACACACACACACACACACAAGCTGGTCACAGTGAAAACAGGAATACATTCATACCATACTGTATACAGATGAACTCACCTTTATGTAACAGAAAACACTATATCCTGTCAATTATCTTCCTATGACCTCTTGTATATAGCTGAGATTTTATATTTTATTACTTATTTTTCTATTTTATTTTGACTTGTACATATACATTTATATAATTATGATTTATTTGACACCTGCCTCTTGCTATCGTTTTGCTATGTATTTTAGAATTTATTATTACCATTTACATTTTTTACTCTTTGGTATTATATTATATTGTGATGAGTGGGCTTCTGTGTCCCTTGTGGATCAATAAAGTTTATCTAAGTCTAAGTCTAAGTCATTTGAGAGTGCTTTGGAAGTGATGGTCGATGAAGAATGGGTGAAATCCTGAGGGAACACTTCCAGACAGGGACTAGAGGGTTTTAACACTTTAATTAGACTTATCTAACAGTTTCCACTTGATTGACCTAAGATCCCATAGTACTACAGTATACTTATTATAAATCCATGGGTCTGGCTCCGGCAATACACTGGGGGGCGACATATCCTGTTGGTTTGTAGTCCGATAAAGAACGAAGAAGACACACCGCGCATGCGTGTCATTGTAATAATGGACGACTACCTTTTCTGCACTGGCTGATCATGTCTGCTTTTGGACTTTTTAAAATATAATCCATCCACTTAAAAACAACATCTCATCAACATTTCAACAACGGTAAGTAAAAATGCTAAACGCGTTATCAGTGTTGCTCATGTAATTGACGGAAATGTAAAAAAAAAAAAAAAAAAAAAAAAAAGACGCACATAGCGTTCCGTGAGCTGCAGCTGCGCGTAGCCTGTGTGCTAGTGAGCTAACAGTTGTGCCTGTCAGTGCGTTTGTTTATGTTTGTGTCTGTTCTGTTCCTGATCGGTTCTTGTTGGGTTCGATTATTTCGGACTCTTTATGCCACCATGAATACAACTATTTTGCTACATTTAGAACATCAACAAATAAATGGCTTAACATTGTCCAGTAGCTACAAATATTTTTTTCTGCAGATAAGCAGATTTTTGTCAAGTTCAGTTGCGTTTTAATTGGCCGAATGGGGTCCATTATTTTTAAATTTTCAGATTATTTCAGTCCCGTTTTATACCTAAACTGGATAGTTAGTTGTTCGGACGGAGCAGCGAATTGTTATCATTCCATATCGCATATTTCCACCATCTCTGAATGAATGAATCACTTAAAGGGCTCTTGTTCACTTAAAAGTCTATTTTCTGATCAATGATATAATGTTCTTTTTTCACCAAAACATGATGACACAAACTGAATACACTCGGTCCACTTTATGATTCCATGTGGTACTACAGGAAGTGCTTCATTGTGTTTTTAAATGTGTCACTAGAATCATCTGGGTAATTTTAGCCCTGGAATTGCCCATCTTTACTGAACAAAAGGTAAAAAGTAGCTGTTAACTTAAACTACCACTTCATGGTTTTTGGGTCCTGTACCTTAGGACCAAGTCAGTGTATTCAGTCGAGATTCAAACGTGTGTGTTTGGGAATAATGTGGAATGTCTAGATTAGGGCTGCATAATATATTGCAAAAATATCAGCATAACAGACACAATAATCAATATTGCAAGAAAATTACTTTATTACTAGTAGTGTTTTTGGAAAGTAAAATGGACAAAAAGGCAGATTATATTTTCCTTATTAATTCCAACATTAAACTTGTGTTGGTCTTGGTTTTTATTTAGACCCAGTCTGACTAGTAAATGAAGGCATGTGCATTTTTTGTTTTAATATAACATTATATTGGTGCCAAAAAAATATATTAATTAATTATAATGTCACTATACATACATACAAAACATAGTTATTGAATAGCACATCTTTTTCTCATATCGTGCAGTCCTAGTCCAAATCATACAATGTAAGCCCATTGTTATGGAGTCCTATCATGTTTTTTGAACTACTGCTTTACAATAGTGCCACAGTTAAATGTTCTTTATTTACAGAGACCAACTATTTCGAGATGACTGCTGACACTGGCAATGTGGGCCACCATATAATGACTTTCTATCCCACCAAAGAACAGTTCAAGGACTTTGGTCGTTATGTGGCCTACATGGAGTCACAGGGAGCACACAAGGCTGGAATGGCAAAGGTAATCTTAGTGATATGACCACTGACTGGCTGTGCAGAACTCATTCTCTGTTGCCGGCCCCGCCACTTTATAGTGGCATTTCACAGTAACAAGCAGCTGATCTGATTTGAACCATTTTTATTTTTGAAATATATATTGCCACATTTGTCAACATTCATGTTTGACCCCAAGTCAGAATTTTTAAATGATTACAATCCTAGAACTAAATTATGCAAGGAAACCCATTATAACATGATTTACAAGTTTAATATATTTATTTTCATCCTACTGTAGAATCTTATGTTTTTATTTTCTTTTTTATGTCAGCTCAGGTCTTGTCAAGAAATTATTTTTAAATTATAAGCCTGTCCTGATAACAAATTATAAAAGGATGGTGTTATTATAATTATCACTTATAATATTGAAGCTACTTGTTTGCCACTGACACCGTAACACCTAAAACAGTAATAGTAATTATTGTAACAGGCCTACCAAATGATGCACTGATATGGGATGGTTAGGGCTGTTGGATGACATTTTGTACCTATTTTTTGTATTTTCAAATGGAATAAAATGGAGGGTCTGTTTGTTTTTTTGTTTTGTTTTTTTGCCAAGTTAAGTTTTTGGTTCAGAAGCTAAATTTTAGAAAAAAATGTTTTGTTAGGTGTGTTTTGATGAATGAGAATGAGAAAAGTTCAACTAATATAGAGACATTTGTAACGTAGTTTGCTCTATTTTTTTTTTTTCCTCAGGTCATTCCACCTAAGGGCTGGAGGCCAAGACAGACATATGTGGATATTGATGATCTGGTCATTCCTGCTCCCATCCAGCAGGTAGTAACTGGCCAATCAGGGTTGTTCACACAGTACAATATTCAGAAGAAGCCAATGACTGTCCATGAATTCCGCAAGACTTCAAATTTAGAGAAGTGCGTTGAACACAGATCAGCAAAGGGTGTTTAAAACTTACGATCACAAATATCAGCAAGACCAGATGCCAACTATTATATCAATTGTGCAGGTTTCGCCATCCCCAGCATGCAGATTGTGATGAACTAGAGAGGAAGTTTTGGAAGAATCTCACATTTAACCCTCCCCTTTATGGAGCAGAGGTTACTGGATCACTGTATGATCAAGTAAGTTACAAAAATGTTAAATCTAATAGTTTTTATAATGTATACCGTTACAAAACAATTACAATTATGTTTCTATTGATGGTATTCTTAATTTCTTAAATAGATACAGATGGACATACCAAAGGACATTTTTATTTATTTTTTTAAACACTCTGTTTATTGTGTTTTTGACATCCAATACACAGTGTCAATCCATAAAATAAGACGTCAGACATGTTAAAAAATGTAAGCAGCCTTTCAAACAAGGTATACCAAAAATATACATGTCATTATATTTGTCAATAAGATCTTAGGACCCTTATAGATGATTAATATTGTATGTTGGATGATAGTAAAACGGAAAAAAAAACAGAAATAAAAGCAACTGAACTTTCACACAGACAAAAAGTAATAATATTTCACCAAAATGTATAAGTTGAAAAGGTGGATAGTACAAATCCCATCATATAGTTCGGACTTAAATAGTAGTTTAAATACCTTCTTTAAATAAACTAATAAAAGGTGACCATATCCTGTTAAATTTATCTTCCTGACCCTGCAAAGAGTATCTAATTTTCTCTAGATCCAAATGCATCATAACATCCTCTGAACCAGTTCACATGTGAGGGAGGCTCTGCCTGTTTCCACTTCAATAAAATTAATCTTCGTGCAAGCAGACAGGTAAACTGTAACACCTGACGCTCAGATTTTTTTTTAACAACTTTTGAGTCTATTATCCCAAGTACTGCTGTAAGAGGATTTAAATCAATAGATATGTGTAGAGCTTTTGACAATATTAGAAAAATATTTGACCAGAAATTTAACAGTTCAGAGCGTCCCCAAAACATGTGTGACCAAGAGACTGAGGCCTGTTTACAGCGTATACACAAAGGGTTTACATCAGGGTACACCTTGATACCAAAGGACATTTAGATGGACATTATAATACTATTTATTAGCCATACTTGCCCTGTAAAGTCTCATCATATTTGAACAGTTGTTTATACGAAGTTGTTCTATAGAGATAAATAACTGCTACATATAAATTTTGAACAGTTTCCATTTTCTTCCGCTTATCCGGGGCCGGGTCGCAGGGGCAGCAGTCTAAGCAGGGACTCCCAGACTTCCTTCACCCCAGACACATCCTCCAGCTTCTCCGGGGGGACCCCGAGGCGTTCCCAGGCCAGCTGAGAGACATAGTCCCTCCAGCGTGTCCTGGGTCTTCTCCGGGGCCTCCTCCCGGTGTTCTGTCTCATTTTATTTTTGATTGATTTAAACCAACTCTGCACTGGTATCAGTTGATATCAGATATCAGCAGACACAAAGTATCACAAATTGGTATTGCAACTGAAGAAGCTAGATCACAAATTGTGCCTAATTCTAATATTTGTACACCTCTGCAGGGTGTCACTGAATGGAACATTGGTTGCCTCAACACCATTTTAGACTGTGTGGAGAACGAGAGCAGTGTTAAGACTAAAGGGGTCAACAAAGCGTCCTTGTGCTTCGGGATGTGGAAGAGTGCTTTTGCTTGGCACACTGAGGATATGGACTTATACAGCATCAGCTACCTTCATTTTGGAGAGCCCCAGTCTTGGTACTGTCACAAATTATATACACTAATATTGGCCCCTAAAACTCCATATTGTTCAGTCCCTGTGATGGTTTTTCCTATGATTTTACTTTATTTATTTATTTTTCAAAAGTGCTTGCATTATAGGCGAACTGCAGTTTTCACTGTTTATTGTTCTGCAGGTATGTGGTACCCCCAGACCATGGCAAGAGGCTAGAGGCACTTGCAAAGGGTGAGGCATTGAATTCAATGTACACATGGATTGTATTGATATTATGCTATTCAATTTCTTGTTTCCAGGTTTTTTTCCAGGTAGCGCTCAAAGTTGTGAAGCTTTTCTTCGACACAAAATGACTTTGATTTCACCATCAATTCTGAGGAAATACGCAATTCCATTTGAAAAGGTTTGTTTCTCTTCAAGACCTCATCCTCCAGTTTTTGATACTGTTTTTTTGGAACAGTTTTTTGTGTGTGTTTGTTTTTGTTTTGTATTTTATGTTGTTGAACTTTTAATTAGCAGTTGGTGTTCTTGGGCTACTTGATCTTTAGGGGTGTAACAACCTTTTTCTGTCCTGCAGTGTGATAAGCCTTTGTAGAAATGTACAAATATATTTTAAAAGGCTTTTATTAAGCATTATGGTAAATAATTTAGTATTTAGCTCTTTTAATAAAAAATACTTGGGCTGTACTTTAAATACCAGTAAGACGTCATGTTACAGACAGCAAAATATATATATATCAATACAGAGAGAGGTTTTAAGCTATGCGGTGTTGTACTAACTACCATCTGTTGCATGGAAGGCTAAATCTGTTAAGATGAAAGCGTGGGTCATTCATGAACTACATGGGTTCTAATAAGGGCATTGTGAACATAAAATGTTTTACTTAACTATATGTACATTGTAGATAGATGCATTTGTTAAGTTTTAAGGCACATTTTAGGGATATTTAGGCATTTGCATCTAATAGATCCATGATACATGATATAGACTGCATACACATCATTTTAGTAGACCATTTTAGTAGAATACAGAATTTTAATTCCTTTATTAATTAATCATTGCATTTATATAGCGTCGTTATTAGCTTCTGGACGAGATCAGGCTTTGACAAGCTGGTATGACCACCATATACAACAGAAGGAAAATTTAGATTCATTTTTATCTAATACAATTTTTAAAAATCCAATTTTAAGAATTCAAAGGCATCATGGAAGCTAATCAGCTACGTGCTAACTAATATTGATAATGATAAAATGCAAGATTTGCTAAATGCTTTAATAATTTGCTGGTTTCTAAAGATTCAGAAATTGTTTTTACGTCAAGTTAGAGGTCTTGTGGTCATTACTTACCACAGAGCTGATTAGTCAGAGAGAGCAGGAGATTTCTTTATTGATCCCGATCCTGCAACATTTTTGTGTAATTGTCCTTCTAAATGTGTGCTTTTTATGTTTGGTGAAATGTAGGGAGATGGTCTTAATATGCATGATTACTATTATGTGTGAATAAAACAAATTACACAATGTTTTTGGGAACATGACAGCATTCTTCAAAGCCTTGTTTAGTGGAATATAGGGCCTCTTAAATTTGTGTATGAGATCAATTATTTAATATGTTAATTTTGAAAATCATCCTTCACTTACATCTCTATATTGTATGTTTCAGGTGACCCAACATGAGGGGCAGTTCATTCTGACGTTCCCATTTGCATATCATGCTGGTTTTAACCATGGTTTCAACTGTGCTGAGTCTACTAATTTTGCCACGCTCAGGTGGATTGATTATGGCAAACAGGCAACACAGGTAACAGGGTGTAACACCACTAGAAATAAATGTCATGGCATCTATGATGAAAAACAGGTATTGTAGGCATGAACAAATGCCTTGAGCACTTAGACCACTTAATATTAGTGGTCTAATGATCTGCAATGTAACAGATTACTTACCAGTATTCTTATGTTATGGTGAAAGAGTTAAAAAGAATAGCAATGTTGATAATTATGTATATAAAAGAATGCGATCCAATGAAACGGTTAGATCACTGAATGAAGGCCTTAATGATCAGGACTGGGGTTCAGTATACTTGGAGAAAGACATTGATAGAACCTACAATTTTTTTTTTATATATATTTCTAACATACAATAAACACTGCCTTGATCCACAATGTAGATCCACAAAAAGAAAATTAAATTTTCTTTGGTTAACAAAGGGGTTACAGAACGCTTGTAAAAAGAAAAATTATCTTAATAGATAAAATAAAATTGGAAACGAAGGATTCAGAAAGAAGGTATAATATTTGTTAACTTATTATATAATTTGTAAGAAACAGTAGAAAATTATAT